CAAAAGGTTGTTTCCTGAAAATGCGGTGAGTGCTAATTACAGTGTTTTCGTCGAAAGCTGTAAGGAGGATGAAAAGTTGGGTAACAATAATCCTATCGTCACGACCAATCTCTTCAAGAATGAAATTAAGGGCATATCTAATATAAGAAGAGTTAACCCGACCAAAATTTCAGTAACGTTCTCACAGCCTAATAATGCCAATAATTTTTTAAAAAACGAAGAATTTTTGAACAAACATAAATTCAGGGCATATATACCAGCTGCTATGGTGGAAACCATAGGAATACTGCGTTTTGTACCCACAAGCATCAGCAACGAAGAGTTATTTAAAAAACTAAGTTCTCCTTATGAAATAGTTGCAGTGCGCAGATTCTCTAAAAAGGAAAATGGTACTGTCAAAGTTTTTAAAACTGTAAGCCTAACTTTTCTCTCAAATGTACTTCCGGAGCATGTTTTCTTAGATTTGTTTCGCTTTAGAGTACACGAGTACAATGCACCTTTGCTGCAATGTTATAAATGCTTCAAATTTAATCACGGCGCTAAGATATGCAAATCTATTCAAATATGCTCCATATGTTCCGAAGAGCATCATTACTCACAATGTCCAGACAATACAGTTGTTAAATGTGTGAATTGTCAGGGTCCACACCTTTCAATATCAAGAGACTGTCCAATCAAAAAACAAAGAATGGAAGAAAAGAAGAACAAAGTATCTTATGCAAATGCTATATTATCTAATAAAAATAAAAATGATACTAATTTAACAACTGATTATCAAAATAAATTTCCTAAATTACCTATTACAAAAAAAACATTACCATTGAAAAAAACACTGAACTCCAATTCTGTCCCCTCAACCGTTTTGACTTCTAACAGCGCAGCGGAAAAAGATAGTTTGCAAAAATTATCAAACGAAAAGATAATTGATGAAATAATTAACAATGATTTTATTCGTAAGGCTATTGTTGGCGCTTTGGTTGCCATAGGAAACGATGAGAGAGCTTTAACCAGTAATGTTATCCAAGAGATACTTATTAAAACTTTAAAAAAAGATCAATAATGGATAAAAGTCACATACGAATATCTCAATATAATGTTGAAGGAGTTATTAACAAAAAACCACTCCTCATCAATTTCCTGCAGGAAAATGATGTCGACATTTGTTTATTGAACGAAACCTGGTTAACAGAACGTAGTAGGTTGTCTATTCCGAATTATGATATAATCAACAAAATCTCTGTAGGTGGCAGAGGTGGAGTTTCAATTTTAATCAAAGATTCTTTTAAGTACTCTGTTCCTTCAATTCCTTTCTATGAAGAACTTCAGTCTGTGGCTGTTACAGTATATACATGTAATGGTGATATGTCTATTTTATGTGTTTATTGTCCTCCTCGGAAACAAGGGAGGTCAAACTTCCAATGTAATAAATTGAAAAAGATTATTAACGATCTTCATAAGCCAATACTGGTCTCTGGCGATTTTAATGCGCATCACGTAGCATTTGGTTGCCTTTCGTGTAACAGACGAGGAAACGAAATTTACAATATATTTGATGAATGTGATCTTTGCATTCTGAATTCTGGCTCTCCAACCACTGTTGGCCGCATAGGTCAAAATCCTTCAGCAATAGATGTCTCTTGTATAAGTCCTTCTTTAGCACCATTGTGTGACTGGAGTGTACACTCAGACCCTATGGGAAGCTATCATTACCCAACAGTTATAGATATTCATATTTCAATAGTAAAATATGAAATAGGTGAACCCACTGAGCGGTTTCTTTATAACAAAGCTAACTGGGACAGTTTTTATAATGACAGTGAATCTGCATTCTCTGATATCATTATTGACCTGAATAATCCATTGAATATATACAATGACTTTTGTAATATTTTAAATATATTAAAAAACAAACATGTACCAAAGTTGAAAAAAAGCACTCGGCATCTTATAAAGAAACCTGTTCCATGGTGGGATGATAACTGTAAAGAAATTGTGATCAAAAGTAAACGTGCATTAAATTATTATAGGTCTCATCCAACTTTGGAAAATTATATAGAATATAAAAAAACAGATGCCCTTAAAAAAAGACTACTTAGTGAAAAGAAAAAGAACAGCTGGTTAGAATTATGTGAATCCTTTAATAGATACACTCCAGTTAGCACTATATGGAATTACATTAGACGATTCAAAAGAGTTTCTTGTTCTAAGAAGCCAAAAAATTCAGAATGGATTCCTTCCTTTTTCAATAAATATGCACCTGTTACTCCACCTGAAAAAGAAATTAATTTAAATACTTTAAAGTCGTCTTTTACCAGTAATGGCAGTCCTAAAGCTTACTTCCTTATAGAACCTTTTTCTTGGCATGAGTTTATAACATCTTTAGAATCCAGAAAAGATACCACTCCTGGTCTTGATGATATCAGATATACCCTTATTAAAAAATTACATATCAATGCACAGAAGAAACTACTACTAATATTCAATTTACTTTGGAATCATGATATAATACCACCTTCTTGGAAAACCCAATGTGTCATCCCAATATTGAAACCTGATAAACCAATAGAGGATAGTGATTCCTATAGACCCATCTCATTATCTTCCTGCATAGGTAAGATATTTGAAAACATTATAAAACTCAGATTAGATTATTACATAGAACAAAACGATATATTACCTGCAGAACAGTTTGGTTTTCGCAAAGGTCGCAGTGCCTCTGAAAATTTTACTTCATTGATATCAGACATAAGAACTTCATTTCTTCAACATTCTGTGTCAGTCTGTGCATTTCTTGACATCAAGGGTGCATTTGATAACGTTAACCCAGCTGTTATGGTACAAGTACTGCATGATGTAGGTATTCCGGGCAAACTCTGTAAATGGGTACACAATTTCTTATATGAGAGGCTCATGTACATAAAGCACAATAATATTCTTCATGGTCCAAGATATGTATACAAAGGTACCATGCAGGGGGCCACTATCTCTCCCCTTTTGTATAATATTTATACTTGTCAACTCAAGCAATTTTTGAAGGAGGAAAATGTACATTTTCTGCAATTTGCAGATGACCTAGTTGTATATACTGTAAATAATAATGTAATTATAGCTGTAAATAAACTAAATAAGGCATTATCTGAAATATATAATTATTATTTTAATAGACTTAAACTAGAAATAAGTAGCAGTAAAAGTTCTGCTATGATTTTCTCTAAGAAATGTATTGATATACCTGTTAATAGTCACATTATATATAATAATTGTCCTCTACCATGGGTACAAACCCACAAATTTCTTGGTATATGTTTGGATCCAAAATTAAACTTTCAAAGCCATTTTGACAAAATCATTAAGTCTGCTACACATGGGTTAAATATACTTAGATCATTAGCAGGTGTACATTGGGGAGCTGATCCAAAAATATTGTTAATGTTGTATAAAAGCCTAATAAGAAGCCACTTTGATTATAGTTCTGTAGCTTACATGAATGCAGGTACAAGTTTATTAAAAAAACTAGACATTCTTCAGAATAGGGCACTTCGAATTATAACAGGTGCAATGTGCTCTACTCCTATTCATGTAATGCAAGCTGAAAGTTGCATCCCACCTCTTATACTTCGTCGTTTAAAATTAGCTGAAAGATTTTGTATTAAAAATGTATCATCTAAAATGTCATTTATTGTAGGTAAACTATTGCCCCTAGAGAGATTTAAGAATATGCAAAATGTTTCTTACCATAACACAGATCTACTTAAATCTGGTAATACTCCAGAATTGGTGGCAATAGCAGTACATATACATAAGACATTTGAAAATTTATATATAAACAGTCTTTGGCCTTTGTACCAAATTCCTTATAATGCCTTGTTAAATTGTAACTTTATCTTAGAAGATGACATAATTCGAACCAATGCTGAATTAATGCAATTTTTAGAGAATAAATCCTTTTACAGAATTTACACTGATGGATCCAAGTCTAAAGATAGAGTAACATCAGCTTACTATGATGTTCAGTTAAATTTTAGTAAGTGCATATTGATTCCCAGTGATTGTAGTATATATACAGCAGAATGTAATGCTATCTATCAGGCATTGTTATATATCTTAGGTTTAGAACATAACAATAATTTTCTTATTCTTTCTGACTCTCAGAGTGTATTAAAATCCTTTAGAAATAGTTATAGATATGATGTAAATTATTTAGTGTTATTTATTAAGCATTTATTGTATAACCTAAAAGAATCTGGCAAGAGAGTGCAATTTATGTGGGTACCTGCGCATTGTGGCATTACTGGTAACGAAAGAGTTGACGAAGCTGCACGAAGTACACCAAGTGAAGACCACTCTTTGTCTATGAAGGTTCCATTTACAGATTTTAAAGCCCTGTGTCATCATAACCTGGCATTACTGTGGAGAAAACATTGGGATGAAATTAGCAAAGAAAAAGGACAGTGGTATCAAAAGATCCAAGGAAGCCCGCCCGCCCAACCTTGGTGGAATAACAAAATGGTGCAATCTAGGAAATTCGTTACTACAATAAACAGGCTGAGATTTGGTCATGGGCAATTTCGCACTCACCTGCATAGACTGAAGATGACAGATGATCCAAAGTGTCCCCATTGCCAAGAAAATGAAGACCTACAGCACATAATTTTTGAATGTAGACGGTACGGACTACAGCGTCTAATACTTGTTGCTGAACTTGAAGCAATCGATAAGGTCGTCCCTAATACGTTGCAAGACTTACTTAACGATCTCAAGTATTTCAAACCACTATTCAAATTCATCGTAAATACTGTAGACAAAATATAACAAGGAAGAGAAAGAGTTTACTGTGGAAGTGAAAATTATGATGTGATGTGATAAACTCAATGACATATTTTGTTTTGTTTACTTTGTTTTTGACATGTTCAACGTTTGGCTTAAAAAGGACTAGAATCCAGAGCCGTAAAACATATTAATAAAAAAAAAAAAAAAAAAGTCAATGTCCAAAAAATGTAAACAAAGCACTCGCCAAGCTCACTCTGCCCTACTGATTTTTAATTGTTGGATTAAACTCCGTTGGACTTTGATATTAGTTTAAAATTTCAAAAGTGCGTTATTTCGTATTCCAAATAAAATTTGTTAAGAGCACAAGAATAAATAATATGGAAAGTGATTCTACAGAAATTTATGTTAAAGCCCCTTGGGGTAACATTGCTGGTAAGTTGCATTATTTACTAGTTTGTTATAGGTATTATAAATAGATGAATGATTGGTCTCGTCGCTTCAGTAGAGTAATGGTAGCCATACACACTACGAGAAATCGTTACGATCAGATTGTACAGTTCGAACGGAACAGTTTATCGTACGTGGCGTACGTATAGGAAACTGTGCAGTTTTATAACATACACGCTACGATTTATTGGTACCGTTCGAACTGTACCGTCTGATCGTAACGATTTCTCGTAGTGTGTATGGCTACCATAAAGCGAGACCAATCATTCATCTATTAGTCTAAGAGCCAGTGGGGGGTCGACTTTCACCAATCTGATAACTTGATGAGACGTAATTCATATCAAATATAATTTATAAACAAATATGCCTATGATGACTTGCCTATCGTAGTGTTCATAGCAATTTTTAATTCAATTAATTTTAATCAATTTTCTTTCATCACCTTCACTCTTTTGATAACCTAATGAGTTTTATCTCAACTGATAGTTTTTAAAACACAGAATATAGGTAGGCTTGCCTACTTATTTCTGTGCATCTGGCATTCTGGCTACCTGGCAAGCAGATGTGAATAGGTAAGTCAATGTAGGTAACTACACTGATCTGTTAATCAATCGAAATTTATAACATAGGTAACATATTTTAATTACAAAACCAATCATATATGCTTGCTTGGAAAAAATCGTTCGCAAATTATTATTGCCAGCCAGCCAGCTATAAAGTTTTAGAATTTTTGCTAGCTATTCTGATAGGTGCGAGAGAACTCATGATATCAGAGTTATAATAATTTATATTATAACTCTGATATTGATCACAATTTTTGTATTATTTTATACTGTATATACTTACAGCTATGAAATAATCATTCAAAATAAATAATTTAATATATTTCCAGTCATTTTCCTTTTATAATAATAATTTAAAAAAATAACTTTTGCGTTTATTGCTTAAAATAAGCACATTTCAATTAAATATATATAACTTATTTCGACCAAAGTGTCGGTTAAACGATTTTGCCTTTGGACTGTTGATAATATTATCATACCTACTTTTAGTGCAAAACCAAATGTAATCTTCTTTATAAAAAAAAAAGTTTTGACAATATTTACAAAAATAAAAAGATATTGAAGTATTATGATTTTCACCTGCACCCTTATAACCCATAGAATATAAATATATGTAAGTAGTGCATTATTAGATTTTTGCTCCTTGTCAATGCGATGATAATGAACATTATAAAAATTAAATTTTCATTTACTTTTTTTTTAAATATCTTCCTTACATTTTCTTGTACGAGTTCTTTACTAAAAAAATCCAAATGTATTAAAAATTAGCTTTCCTTGAAAGGTAACTATCATTTGACTGCGTCCAATATTTAAGGAGTAAATAAATCGACAAAAAGCAGTTTATCTTTGTCTTCGCAGGGGACAGCGAAATGTCGTTAATTCGAAGAAAAAAGGCAACCTGATTTCTTTATAAATTTTTTGAGAACTACTGTTTGGAATCCGTACTTAATAAAATAAATAAAATAAAAATAAAAAAGCTTTTTATTCCATATCCATTGGTTACTTCTACATTTTATTTATGTTAGTTTGTTAGTAAACCTAAGTATTATGTTGGTTTTTAGTATTTGTTAGTACAGTTTCAGACATGGATCCCATCTGGGTAAAAGCCTCCTCCATTGCTTTCCACTTTTCTCTATCTTTCCCCGCCTTCAGCCAGTCCCTGCCTGCCACAGACACAATATCGTCGGACCATCGTTTTCTGGGTCTGCCTACTTTTCTTTTGCCTTTTGGTCCGGACCATCCAGTGGACTTGAGGGACCACCTTTTGTCGGTATATCTTGACAGATGACCCGCCCATTTCCATTTAAGTTTAAGGGCCTGTTCCAGAGCATCTGTTAGTCCAGTTTTGCTCCTTATGTCTGTACACCTTATTTTGTCTATTCTCCTTAATTTTAGCATGCTTCTTTCTATTGCTCTCTGGCATGTAGTAATTTTGTTTTTTATTTTATTTGTATAAACCCAAGTTTGACATCCGTACAGTAGGCTTGGTAATAGGTATGTGTCTACTACTGTCTTTTTTAGTGATATATCGAGATTGCCTTTTAGGATTTCTTTGTGTGCCCAATATTTCTTCCATGTAGAATTTATTCTTCTATCCACTTCTTCTTCGTTACTGTTTGCTCTGAATGATACCTGTTTTCCTAAATATATATATGCCTTGTTTGCAGAAACAGCTCCAGAAATAGAAAATATGTTAAAATCACTGGACACACAGAGTAAAATAGTGGGATTACACATGAATCCTAGCAAAACGAAAATAATGACTAATGCAGAAAATAAACCAATAACAATTGAAGAAAAAGATATAGAATATGTAAATGAATCCATACTTATACAGTATTTATTAGGTGTTATAAAGCCACTTAGGCTTTTTATTTAATTTTTGTCTACAATTTTCTACATGACTATACTTTTCGTAACAAAACTGTCAATAAGGTACAATGGGTCCCATAAAAGAGGTCCAACGGGCACTTTCTACATAATCGTTTAGAGAGGTTAAATGCGATATATAAATAAGGTCCAGTGGGTACAGTACAGTTGCAGTAGTGTCTAATCTTGAAGGTCCAATCTTGGACCGAGTTGGGTCGAATCTTGAGGCTCTAGCGAGTACTAGACCCTGTTATGTTGTGTCCATTTCTATCACACGGACCTCGGAAGCTGTACTGTCTCTCAGGCACCTATCGGAATAGCTAACATTCTAAAATTTTATAGCTTGGCAATAATAATTTGTGAACGATTTTTTGCAGGCAAGCATATATGATTGGTTTTGTAATTAAAATATCTTACCTATGTTATAAATTTCGATTAGTTAACAGATCGCGATCGGTGTAGTTACAAGTATTGACTTACCTATTCACATCGGCTTGCCAAGTAGCCACCTTGGTATATTCTGTGTGTTAAAAACTATCAGTTGAGATAAAACTCATTCGGTTATCAAAAGAGTGAAGGTGATGAAAGAAAATTGATTAAAATTAATTATATTAAAAATAGCTACGAACACTTCGCTAGGCATGTCATCATAGGTATATCTGATGATAAATTATATTTGATAAAAAATATGTCTCATTGAGTTTCAGATTGGTGAAGGTCGATCTTATGTGGTCTCCCCTACTATATGGTATTATAATTCTGAAAATGGATGACAAGCTTTATATGATTATAATATGCATAAAATACATATTGTTTCAAACTTTCATGGACACTAACATTATAGCTATTAACGGGATTGTTACCATGTACCTTGTTTTTTATGTGTCTCCGATATTTCGGCACTGTTGTAAGTGCCATGATCACGGAGTAACTGAAGTAATTGTGGGTAGATGTTATTGGCAGACATATCGGTCTACCCTCTGACGTCGTCTTTTACTGCGCTCGATACCCCTACCATTGGTCACATTCTCACTACTCACTCACACCTATTCCCGACACACAATCAGATCGTGGAACGATACTTTTTTGATTTTTGCGGCTTTTGGATTGTGTTTGTTGTGTTACTGGATTCCAGACACTTGACAATTTAAACCCATCCTCACGATTGAAGTTTGCAGGCAAGACATAATAATACATTCTTTAAAACTATACTTTTTGCTCAAAATAACAAAACCATATAGACCACACTTATTGTGTACATATTTTACATTTTAAAGAAACTAAGTAAGAAATAAATAAAATAGATGTGAAATTATATCATGCCAGCACTTCACTTAGCTATTCGTAATTGATATTTGTAAACTTGACAACAGTCTTATCATGCTAAAGCATCGTCGTCCACGGACGTTATAAATAACTTCCCCATGCGTCCGTGGACGTCGCCAGATGCATCAGCAGATGGATCACCATGAGCCAACCACACTGGCGACGTTCGAAGGTCATTCAGTCTGTGTTCATTCTCGACAGATGTTACTTGAACGCACACAACATTAAAAAAAATCAACTACTAATTGTGGTGCATCGCAGTATCATTATTAAAAAGAAATAGAAAAGAAGTAGGACGGAGGTGCCTGCTGGCTATTTTTCAGATTCCACAGGTCGTTTTCTGTTTGAATACTATTAAAGGAATTCAAATATTTCGTAAATACTCATAATATTAGCCATTTCGGCAAACAAATAGAGTAACAAACGAGAAAAAAAGAATTGCTATCACGCGTCCACTTTCATTTGCAATTCCAGTACTCCTGATGCGTTGTGAGACGTGTGGACACGCCGTATGTCTACCCTGAATCCCTTTGTTGCATGCCACAAAAACCGACAACTTGAGCACCTTGAGCCTCTTCAATTACGCCGTGACGTGTCGTCACTAAGCGCGTTTTATCGTCTGTACCACGGCGAGTGTTCTGAGGAGTTATTCTCTCTTATCCCACCTTCCCCTTTCCTTCATAGGACCACGCGCGCTGGCCTACGTTGTCACCGTGTAACTGTGGCCACAATTCCAACGCGTACAAAGAAATTTGGTGACTCATTTCTTTGTCGCACTATCCGTGAATGGAATGCTCTGCCCGCTCACGTGTTCCCTCCCTCTTACAACCTGGGATCCTTTAAAAGAGGCGTGAAGAAGCAACATGCAGGCCGGCAGGCTGCTGTATCAGCTATCTTCGCGTCTGGACTTCACCTTCACTTAACATCAGGTGGGGTGGAGCCATTTGTCGGACCTATCTATAAAAAAAAACTAACGGATTGATGACAGACGCATTTACAGATGTTAAATACCTACCACAGACACAAACTACCCTGTCTACATGTCGACAGACGCATCCGCAGATGGCACCTGCAGATGCATCTGTCGACGTGTAGAGGGGGCATAAGGAATAAAAAGGACAGACTGATGTCAATTTTACCAATAGCAAATATGAATAGTCATGTGAAACGCCAGCATAATAATATCATTTTTTTATAGTGGTCTCATGGTATGAGGGTTCTTCAGAGCCTGTTCTCATGGTGCATGGCAGGCAGGACAGTGCTGCAACATTTGTTCCCCTAGTGTCGCATTTACCTCGGACACGACAGTATGTTGCGGTGGACCTGCCTGGGAATGGAAGATCGGATAGCTTTCCCAAAGGTGTGTGATTTTCCCTAGATAATGTATTTACAGCATCCATGACTTTTTTATAGAAGTGGACTTGGGTAACTCATCCTATGAGGATTTGTAACGATTTTAGTAGAGAATGCATATTTAAAGTCCATAAAATACAGTCGTTAAATTTTTGTTCTATGACAAATATTGACGAAGTTATGACCAACTTATTAAACGAATTTTCAGCTGGTTGCGTGGTGACTGTGACGTCACAGTGCTCTAGCGTGCGTAAAGACGCTACAAAAGTTCGACCGGAGTGAACTACGATCGAGCTCTGTGACGTTACACGTTTCTGCCGTCGGTGAATAATGGCTGCCATAAAATCTACTATATAAAAATAAGTCGGGTTTTCCTTCCTGACGCTATAACTCCAGAACGCACGAACCGATTTCCACGGTTTTGCATTCGTTGGAAAGGTCTCGGGCTCCGTGAGGTTTATAGCAAAGAAAATTCAGGATAAATTTAAAAAAAAATCGTTTTCTTTTAATCACAAAACGAAATGTTACATAAAACGAAGCTATCTGGTGGCGAAACGGAGTTCGCTGGGTTTGCTAGTTAGTTATAAAATCGCAATGAATGAACCGATTTCGAAGATTTAAAAAGTATAATAATTGAAAATCTTATTAGATCATTATACTGTTAATTTAGAGTTGATTTCCTCCACTCCCTAACTTTGACGTGCTTTCTCTTTGTAATTTTTTTGGTTGACCAAAGAAAAAATATTTGTACATTATTTATTGATAATCTAAGTAACATACTAAATAGATTTCGTTTTTATAGCCCGTCGTCACCCCTATTTCCAACTCAAAATTGCTCCATGGAGCAGCTTAAAAAGCATTCCAAATACCAAAGCTGCATGCTTAATCAACTGAGAAGGCTCGTTGACTCACCTGTCAACTTGATAGTACTGCTGAAAAGATGCAGGCACTGAAGAAGGGAGTTTACACAATAAGATAATAATTACCTACGTATTTACAATTTATCATTGACTAGCGGCCCGCCCTCGCTTCGCTTCGGTGTAGAGCTGAAGTGTAGACTACAGTTTTTGTTTTCCAGGCTTGTATTATACACGATGACATTCATCTATGATTCTTCTTATAAGCAAAGTCTACCTGCATGCAAAGTCTCAGCCTGATCGGTTTAAAATTGACAAAGTTTCATACAACCTTTCATTCCCTATTTTATCCCCTTGGGGGTAGAATTGATCAAAATCCTTTTCGGATCGGGTGCCTACGTCATAAGATCTACCTGCATGCCAAATTTCAGGCCGATCCGTCCAGTGCCTTGGCTGTGCGTTAATAGATCACTATGTCAGTCAATCACCTTTGAGTTTTATATATAGATCATAATGTCTAACTATGATAGAAAACACACAACCATATGAAATAAATTCTAAAGAGAAAAGGCAGGCAATAAAAATGATAGTACGATTAAGAAAAACAAATCATTGATTATATCGATTTTCAATACCAATTTTAATAAAATTTTAAATGTAAGTATAATAAATACTTGAACGAAAATAATACCTAAAAATACTCTGATTTTTAGATATACCTATATTTATCCATTGCCGGATTATTATCAGTTAATTTTCTGTGAAAATAATTATCTTGATAATTTGCAACCCTAGGCGGGAGTACAATACTGTCATTTCTGGGCGCCTGCCAGTAGTATTGGTATCATGGTGCGATGATGGAAAAAACTTAATTCGTGGGAGTAAGTTGTAGGTTATAAAATAAAAAACAAATGTTCAAATCATACATATTCCCCTATTTCAGGTATAATGATACAGAGGTATCATTTCATAGCTGTGATAGACTACGTGATTAAACACTTTGGCTGGAAAAGCTGCGTGTATCTTGCTCACTCTATGGGATGCGAAATAGGTATAGTATATTAATAATTTATGCATCATCATCAGTTTATTAATATCCCTTTACGAAGACCATAGGGGAAGATTTTCCTCTGAGCTGGGTGACGGTAGCTAAGAAATATTTACTAGAAATATTCCACATGGTCCAGGCATCGGACGTGACTCGAATTAACGCCTTCCGCTATACGGACGGGTGCACTGACCAATTATGTTACCCCAAAAAAGTTGCAAGGCAGCGCAATCTCTTCGCATCGTAGGTGACCCACATTGTCAAATGAAATACCTATACAAGTATTAAATATGTGGAAGAAGAAATAGCTCCCTGGACCGCGTTGAATTTTTTCTAGTAAAAAATTACTATTAGTTGTTGTAAAATCTTCATTTTGAGTTTTCTACGTTTACTACTCCATTATGACCCTTAATGAAACCACTTTAAGGTTTATTTTACAACGCTGTGTGGCCCGGCGTCATAAGTAGATTTGTGCACTTGGACGCGGGGCCCAGTTTCCAGCGGCTGCAGCAATCCTACAATGATTACGAACGTCACTTCCACAACTACTACTCCAATTACCGTAGGTGAGTGGCCACTGACACAAAACAGAGAGATACAGAAGTTGATCTAGGTGACACACAGAGACACCGCTCACGGACACGATATCTCGGACCGGTTGGGACCAGTGCCAGCACGAGTTTCATCCGTTTGTGCAAAAAATAGAACCATCAAAAAAATATCATAACTATTCATTGGACGGTTGTTTTAAATTCAAAATTAAACGAGGAGCTCGATGGCGCAGGTAGATAGTGCGTTCGGCCCGTGGTTGCGGAAGCTAAACAACTTTCATAAAGGTCGGTCATTGGATGGGTGACCAAAAACTTATTAATTCGAGCACAACTGACCCCAGATCCGGATTATGCGACCACAAATTACTATCTTGCCAAGTTTATAGGCTTGGATCTCAAGAGAATACAAAAAAAATTGCGGTCAACTGAGGGACAACTCCTTGCAGAAATACATACAGACACGAACCACGATATAGATTCCAAATTATTACAATTTACAAACACAATTTGGTTTAAATGTAAACTTTGTTTTCACGCGCATATTATCAAACCTTTTTTCAATTATCAGACAGAAAAACTATAGGACTCATAGTGAAATTATAGCTATTAACGGGATTGCTACCATACATTAGTTACTCCGTGATGATGGCGCTTGCAACAGTGCCGAAATATCGGAGATTAATAAAAAATCTAGGAACATGGTAACAATCCCGTTAATAGCTTGTAGGAAGGCCAAAGGGGAAGATCGTCCTCCGAGCTGGGCGATGGTAGCTCGAGGGCCGCGGCCCGACTGATGTTGGTCGGGCATCTTATATATCGAGTGTTAGCATCCGAATTTCACTTGCGCGATGTAGGCTTCCATACGTATTGATCGCAGCGTCGGTAGCGCCATCTCTTGAGGAGAGATGTGTGTTGAAAATTATAATATATTACTACGCAACTTTTTAAACGTCCCGCTACGAGGCCTATCGTTTTCTAAGTCACTAGATGGCGCCACTGTTATTGTGAAAAAATGAAATCCTAATTTGATACCAAATTCAATTTTTGAAATTTCAGAGGAAAATTGTTGCGTAGATTGTTGAAAACTTTCAGAAAATTTTACTTCACATACTACTTTACACCATAGATACCCCTACCTAGGAAATTTTAAAATATTTTATTTAGTTTTATAATTTAAATAATCTTTTTTTAATTTTTTTTTTTTCAGATATAATAGCGACGATTCTAAAGTGTATACAAGGAGAAAGGCTCTGGACGCAGTGATGAGAGCAAGAAAAATGAATGAAGAACAAGCTGCTGTAATACTCTCGAGGGTACTTGTGAAAATAGGAGAGGACCGATATAGGTTGTTATTTAATATTAATGTTCATTATCATCATCATAATTTAATTAATTTAATTTTCCAACACTCACACCTAACCCCAAAGTAAGCACTATAAGGCTTGTGTTATGGGATACTAGGGTAACGGATAGAATACATATACTGTACATCATCATCAGTCTATTAATGTCCCCACAAAAGATGAAACGAAAATGCGTCATGATCGTCGGAGTCGTCATGAGTCGGATCAGAATTTATTTGATGCTAGTATGAGCGTACCGTATCTTCCCTTTTTGTTTTAATCTAAGGCCTAGACTGAATAAATGACTTTTCATTTCATTTAGTTATTTTTCTGAAATACACAAAAAAAATACGAGTATTCACTTTATAAACATTTCTAAATAACAAGAGATAATTTTTTAAACTTGTAAAATACCCTATTAGCACTAAAAACTAAAAAAATTACATCACACCACATTCTAAAAAAATATAATTTTCTTACATATTTCAGAATGTCATGGGACCCGCGTATGAAAACCATCGTTCCACAAAATCTTACAAACGAAGGGAACATAAAACTGTTCACTAGAGACAAAATACCGTCTCTACTTATTACCATGAGTGAGGGCCACGGCGGAAATTTGCGCGGCAAAGATGGCGCCGATCAGCTGATCCGAGCCATGATGGAGGCCGACAACTTCCGGGAAGTAGTGTTATCTGGACAGCACGATTACCACGTGACCCATGCGGAGGAAGTGGCAAAATACGTCGTAGATTTTCTTGATAATAAATCATGTGATATTAAATGTAAGATTTAAGCGTGTTGTGTTTCATTTTATTTTTTGTCTGTTATATTTTCATTAGGTTGATAAGCGAGTATTTACAGTGCGACAAAGATCTTTATGATTGCGAGTGACAGTGCAAGGAGGGCACCACTGTCTACGTAAATGACCCATAATGATATATAAATATGACGTTTACCAAGACTTCGGCGTTAGTTCCAATTTTCGACACTCTTTCAATTCAATTCAATATCGTTTATTCAGTCTATGCCGTTACAAGCACTTGTGAATGTCGTAAATCTACGGCGGGAAACCTTGTACTGAGAAGAACCGGTAAGAAACTCAGCAAGGGCTGTTTTTTTCTCCCTGTATTACATACAGAGTCGTCAAATTTAAAGATTACTTCAATATAAGATAACTCATGAAGTCACTTTCATAAAGATCCTTGTCGCACTATGCTTGCTAAATAGTAACCGAACATCACAATCAAAGCCTATAAACGCTGACCTGGCAAAATACTAAATAGGAAAAAAATAAGTACTGTAGGTATACTATACACCCGGCAAACTTTCTGAGCAACGGCCATATAGCCACCATTTCTCACATATTGGTTGACTGGTAGAGAATACCTATGGCATTAAGCCCGTCGTTTCCTTATGTTTGGCAATAAAGATTAAATAAATAAAAATAAATAGATTAGGAAGTTCGCGCAATAGCATTTTTATGGAATATTTCTCATTCTATTGGAATTCTTGTAAGAAATTGTCTTATAGTATATAAAATAATCATATGTAGGTAAAAAGTGCTACAAGCAACATAATCTTGTTTAATTTTACTAATTTTCATTGCTAAATGAATCTCAAGAACAGTATTCGACATAACTATTGTTTTGTAGTCTATGGTGTGCGTTAGTCTAAAAATAGAACCGCTAATATAACTGCCTGCCTTGTTTACATAACCATGGACCAATAAACAGCCAAAGTGTATAACCATAATATTTAATTTGGTTAATAAAATGTTTCAATACTGTACAAGTAAAAATAGGTAGTGTTATACCTACTTAATGATAAGATGATAATCTTTGGAGTTTCGTTTCACAACAGATTGCGGCTTTATTAGGTTATGTTTTGTCTAAAAAATAATGGTTTAGTATTTCGGTTGTGATTGTTTTTGTGGTGAAGACTGAAGAAAAAATAAATTAAGAGTTAACTACAATTAAAATGACCCTGGGACCGTTGAAACGGTAGGTAACATTTTAATAAATACAGATTTTAGAATTTATCAATGAGCGTAATTATAAGTAGTATATAAACTGTAAGCTGTGTTTAAATCAAATCACTTCTTATTTCTGTGAATAGAACCTACCTTGTATTATCTTGTCAATTTTAAGAGCTAAATATAACCTCTATTATAGTGTTAAACCTATTAAAGAGACTGTCAGTGTTGCCAGAAAGCCATTTCGCCTTCCCCCCAAAATTTACCCGAAATCCCCCCAAAATACAGGTTTTACCCCCCAACAAGCAAAATATTTATTAAAAATACAATATTTACTACATAGTATGTATTTTTGCAACAGCATCCATTACTGGAGCTCTATTTTTGAATCGCTTGCCTTGCGTCGAACGCTCGATTACTGCTAATTTTCATTCAACATACTTGATTAATTCCCAAATAATTCCTTATTTTTGGATCGCTCGAGTGCAACAAATGGGTGAGACCAATCGTTGCATGGTGAATGGTGGAGCAGTGTTGCCAGTACCTGCGTCGTGTTTCGGACGATTCGAAATCTGAAAAGGGACGATTTTTAGTCAAAAAGGACGGCCTTACAGAAATATTAAACTAAAGGCTGAACTATATTTATCTTACGTGTTGTATTGTGGCGCAATCTGCTTCATACATTTAGTACGGTTAGCACTAAGAACTATACCTGTGTGTCGCGATGTTTCGACAGCGTTCTCACTTTAACCATAATTGTATGAAAGAGATAGCTCTCTGATGTGTTACAACACAACACGACAGGTAAGTGTAGTTCTATCATAATGCGGTTAAATGAAAAAAAAAGCGAGTGTGTTTAGGAACACACGACTGAAGTGAAATTTCTATAGCTCCAATGATCTGAAATTTGATAGAAAAAAACTACCAATCCGCGCTGGGTCCATTATCACACACCAATCCGCACTGGGTCCATTGCCACCGACTAATCCGCGATGTGTCCGTTATCACCCTCCAATCCGCACTGGGTCCATTATCACCAACTCATCCGCGCTGGGTCCATTATCACCCACTGGATCCGTTATCATCCACCAATCCGCACTGGGTCTGTTATTATACACCAATCCATACTGGGTCCGTTATCACCCACCAATCCGCGCTGGGTCCAGTGTCACCCACCAGTCCACACTGGGTCCGCTATCATCCACCAATCCGTGCTGGGTCCATTATCACCCACCAATCCGCACTGGGTCCATTGCCACCGACCAATCCGCGCTGTGTCCGTTATAACCCTCCAATCCGCACTTGATCCATTATCACCAACCCGTCCGCGCTGGGTCCATTATCACCCACCAACCCGCACTGGCTCCGTTATCATCCACCAATCCGCACTGGGTCCGCTATTATACACCAATCCACACTGGGTCCGTTATCACCCACCAATCTGCGCTGGGTCCGTTATCATCCATCAATCCACGCTGGGTCCGTTATCACCTACCAAGCCAAGCACTAGATTTATGTATTTTGTTACAGGTATTGTTCATTGTTTACCGATGAGTCACCGATGACACTAATCGTAACACGAAAAGGGAAGATGCATATATAATATATATGAAAATTTTATGATTAAAATGTTAAAAAAATATAAAAGAAATGCCACTGCAACGTTTTTATTTTACATAATGTTGTTTTTTAACAATTATTACGAATTAAAAATACTTGAAACGGAACGTATTTTAAAACACCAATCAGCGTTTAGTGACGTCACTCCTGTTATGACAACTTCTTTGAGGTTATGGTTGTTAAAGTAAATATTATTTTATGGGAATATTTATTGCGTTTTTTTAACATTTAATAAAAACAGAAGTTGCGTTTATCAAAGCAGACTCCAGGAATTTACCAAGAGTTAGCGTTGACATGGTTATAACATTTTTTGTCCAAAGTGCAGTTTTTAAGTGTAGAAATGAAAGGGACTAAATTACTACGGTATGTAAAAATCGTAGTTGTTAAACTTCGTATTTTATTCAGCGGCTTCTACAAATCTTACGGCGATAATGCAATCGGCTATGTCCAAATTAAAAGAGATGGAGAATTATGTACAGTAAAAGGTCGAGTTCCCCGGAGCATAAAGTACGTAAAGAAGGTTATCGTGTTAAGGTTATTTTAAATGAAACGCAAAGCTTGGTTCAGTCCTGCCAATGTGAAGATTGTGCCACACATTTTAAACTTTATCTAATTTTCGACGTCATTCTCCAACTGTAAAATTAAAAATATGTTATAGACAGGTTTTGTAAGTATTAGGTAGGTTACTAATGCGTTTTTACGTACAAGCAGATTAATTAAGCATATATACAAGTATATTCGCCGACTTACGTCAAAGTGATCTTCTCAGCATCAAATAATGGTCTTTGGAGAATAATTGTCATTTTTCTTTGCAGCTTGAAACCACTTTTTTTTCAGTTTTGGGTCAGAAGTTCCAGTCAAAAACAATTTATTTGGGAACTTTGTTGAAGTACATTGGCACAAAACATGAGTCACATGATGTTGATGGATAGTCCATTTTAAATTTTTCAAAAAAATATTTCGAAAGTCGAAAAAATATGCAAAAGTATGAAAATTTAAAGCCAGCAACGAACAAGTACGACTAGTGACAGACAGCAGTGACGTCATCGCAACTATAGGTTCGTTTTCGCGCGAAAATTTAAATTGTCAATTCAAAACCGCATTTTTTCCGATAAATCACAATGTTTTAATTTTTTAATATATCTGTGGTTTATTCTACATGGAATTCTTTAAAATGAAAACAAAAATAAAAATATTGCATCTTCCCTATTCGCCAGTTTACCCCCCAAGTCAAGGCGTGCCTAAAGAAGTTTCACTTCAAAAACATTTTAACAGAGCCATATTAATTATATTTTTTTGGGCACACAATAAACATAATGAAGATGGTACGGAGGACATAGGTACATCATGGTGGTATGAACGTACCGTACGTACTTACGACTCTACAAAGCAAGCACTTATTCTTAAGTTACCTATTATCTTCATAACTGAAACATACCTCAACAACAAAAGTTTTATTAGGTAAGATATGGTAGGTTATTGGGTTAGAGCTTTGAGTTGGTATAGATATAGGTAGGTATATATTAAACGTCACCTTCGTAGCGAGCGTTGAATTCGATGTAGTTTACTGGGTGATTTGACGAATAGAGTTGACAATGTACAACGAATAGTGATGGCAATTTAGTGAAATAAATCAATGAGTGAAACGAAACGCATTCGTCTAATGTTGCAGTGAAGCGTTATCGAAAACGGACGGAAAAGGGACGGAATATGTAAAAGGACATCGATGGGACGCTTTGATGAGGAAAGGGACGAAAATCGTCCCTTTTGGGACGTTCTGGCATCACTGTGGTGGAGGCAAATGATAGAATAATTGTCAAATTTGTGTCAGATGTCACGTGTCAAACTTGATTCACTTTTGTTGTTTTTCTTGTATTTCTTTATTTACTATTTTTTGAAATTATAACCTTTTCTTGAGACTACAATTGCATTCTTAACTCCGACCACTGATCAAGTATCCCGCGCTTACGATTACTTTCTTTTACGATAATCTATCCTTGCCCTTGCGATCGATGTTCTATACACCGTACAAATATTAACAATTAAGTACCTAATCATAGTACAAGCTTTAGCAATTACTGTCTGTAACATATTATAATTTGAAGCACTCTTAATCAGTCAGTGGGCCGATTCAGACATGATGTCCTAAATCTAAAATGAAATTTAATAACAGTGTATCCTTATTCAGCATATAACTAGCGAGCCGCCCCGGCTTTGCACGGATAAACTTATTTTAATGCTTCTCCAAGCCTTCTCTCCTTTTAGCGCATTTTGGTACCAAAGCTTCGTCGCAAAGGTGTGGAAGAAGCATACCTAGATAAAGTTTGTAATTATTTTATAAATATTATCAAAACAGCTTTTTTACTTAAACGCCCTTTGATTTGATACCTATATTGTAGGAAAGCTTAAACCCTATGTCCCATGGATAATGAAGAATGCTAATAGTGTAAGAATTTTTGAAATAGGTTTAGAAGCTTTCAAGGTTAGAAAAATATTGTTAGAAAAATCTATCCTCTTTATACTGTAAGTATAGAAAGTTGGACGAAAAAGAAAGACTGTTTTCAAATTTAGTTTGAAGTCTACAGAATCATGCTAAAATCATCCCCACTGGGTAGTTTATTGAACAAGGGCAGACTGATGTCAAGATTCTTCTTCTTTTCCTACAGCATGACGGCTAATGTATGTCAAGTTTACAAAAGCAATCACGAATAGGTAAGTGAGGTGCCGACATAAAAACGACAAAATACAATTGTAGATGTACAGCCATGAACTGAGAATTTTTCGTTCCGTTTTCATTGCGGTAATTACCGGTTGTTATTTTTTTTCTGTGTGAAATGAATAAAGTTTTATATTTCGTATTAAACTGGTAACACCAGTGACGAACGATTCAAAAATACGGAGTATCATGCGACTAGAAAGTCGAAGGTGACTTATGTCGTATTGGACGATTGACGATACTATGTCAGGCGAGTGATTCAGAAATAGAGCCCCTGGATCAACATCTTCGGACGCGTCGTCTTTCTCACTCCTTTGTTAATATTCTTACATAACTTAGTTTTAATAATGCCATTATTTTACCAATGTACAAACAATTAAAAAGACAAATTACCACATTGCGGCTAAACAAAGCAAAGATATAGTGTCGATTCGATTTGCATTGCATTGCATTACAGAATAAGAAAGAGAGAATGTTGATTTTGACTATTGATCGCGACTTTTTACAGATTATAAAATTATAAAGTGGTTTTATTTTTATATGAAAAATGTAATAAAAAAAACCCAGTTTCCCCCCAAACCCAAATTTCTTTCCCCCATTATTCCCCCCAAAAATATTTTCTCCCCAAATATCCCCCCATCGCTTTAAAAACCAAATTTGGGGGGAATCCCCCCAATCAGGTTTCAGTGGAGACGTATAGCAACTACTGTTTGGGGCCATCCATAAATTACGTCACACTTTAAGGGGTAGGGAGGGGTCGACGAAATGTGATATCGTGTGACAAGGGGTGGGAGGGGTCCTAAATTTCGTGACGTCACATTTCAAAATATATTAAAATCTAAGTGTTGAAACTATTACTTTACGAAAGCATTAACAACCCAAACGAGAACAAAGTGGTGCTATGCCAGTTATAAATAATTTAAAGGAGTGGGATCAATGTCCATGGACTCAAGATTATTAAGTTTGTATCTTTAATTTAATTATAATGCTATTAATATTTTATGTTTTGTTAATTTCTTTAATTAACATAGTCAATCACTTTTTGTTCGGTAATTTCTTTAATAAATGTAATTAATCGTTTTTTTTGTTTTGTTAATTGTGTGATTTGATTATAATGTACGAGCTAGTGTGACCACGTACACCCTTTAGATGTTATTAGATGATAATTGTTTGTAGTACGCAGGTAAAGAAGTCACCAAAGTTAGATATGTATATTTATTGCAGCCGAACGTAAATACAGATAAAATGTTAGTAGGTGATTCTTTGCTTGACTGTTTCGAATGTGCGCTCTTAACGTACTCGTGTAATTAATATATAATATTAATAAAATTAACTATTATGACGCGCGACCCAAAGTAGGTCGCCATGTCAGCTCAGTATGTGCGGTGATGAGACCGTACATATAATAATAATGAAAAAACAATTTAAATGGAAATAAAAACTGATTACAGAACCGCTGTTTTCATTCAATGATTTCTAAATGTAAATTTGCAAAATATGTGACGTCACACTAGGGAGGGGGGGAGTCTTACAAATGTGACCAGCTGTGACAAGGACGGGGGGAGGCGCAAAAAAGACATGAAATTCGTGTGACGTAATTTATGGATGACCCCTTTGCTGTATAGCTAGGTTTTTTTTTGAATTTATTCATGATGACCATGGTAATAGAGAGTGCTGCCAGATGCAATTTGCGAAAATGTAGATCGTGCGAACTATTAAAAATCCGGTAGATGTATTGCAAAAAAATCATCCACGGCCACAGATGATCCAAGGTAAACTCGAGAGACTGGGTTAGACGAATAGATGGGCAGCGAGGGCTTAGTACATAATAGTTCCGTTAACTTTTGAAGAATAGAACACGAAAAGGATGTCTGCCCTTGTGGCGCGATTATAGTTGTTCGTTAGCCCGAATATGAGTGTCAATGGAATTCGGGTAAACGACTAAGTGTTAATAGAACGGAGACCGGGAGAGGAGACCTATTATTAATCTAAGATCGAAACTAGGGATGGGCCGAATATTCGTTTTATGTTCGGTATTCTTTATGTTCGGTAAACCGTCTCTATCGGATACCTATCTTGTGTCATACTCTACTTCCGTTCCATCGAATCTCAAATCAGAACGGTGCTAAAGAAGTTTTCACTTCGAAAACTATGATTGCTATTTCATCTTTCAAATGTTTTAATACTTGTAAAGGTATTCATTTGACATTGTGGGTTACCTAGGTACAATGCAAAGAGATGTTGCGTTGCCTTGCAGCTTAAGAAACACTAGAGAAAATTCGACACGGCCATCAGGGCCGCGGTAGCATAATGGTCAGTGCATTCGCCCGGATAGCAAAGGGTGCTATGCTTATAAAAATATATACCTACTTATATATAAAAATATAATAGTTTTAACACTCTATACCTAGTCAGGTCATAAATTCTGTCACATGTTTAATATAAAATAATTGAAACAAGTTTATTCATTATGTAACCATTTATATACCAAAATGAACTTAACAAAACATAGATTTTTATGACAATAAAGTTTATTCAAAATGACCTCCGTGATTTTGAATACAGGCCTTCAATCTGCGCGGCCAGTCGTCTATCGCAGCACGAACGAGGTCCATGTCAATATCGGCGGCTGCCTTAATCAAGGATGTCTTGAGTAGCTCCAAATTGGGATGAGGCTTTGAGCACGCCTTTTCCTCCAAGTGTTGCCATATCTTGTAATCTAACGGACTCAAATCTGGACTGGAGGAGGGCCAGTCTTCGTGCCGGATGAAGTCGATTCCACGCGCCGAAAGCCAGTCTTGTGTGCTCTTCGCTCTATGAGCTGGCGCCGAATCTTGTTGGAATACCCAGTGCCTGTTATTGAACATGGTATGAGATACAGGTTCCACAAGGTTCGTCATGACTGTATTTTGATACACAACTGCATTTGTTTTTACACCTTTCTCACAAAAATGTACCTCTGTTAAGCACCAATAAGAAACTCCCAACCATACCATGAGCGAGGATGGAAAATGACCTTGTTGGACACGCGGAATAAGGTTGCTGGCTTCTTCACTACTGTGTGCGTACACAATATCATTTTGTTTGTTGTAGCTCTCTTCTATGGTAAACATTTTTTCATCCGAAAAAAGAATTTCCCGATATTTTTTTCCCGCGTACCGCTTCAACAAAGCCCGGCATCTCTTCAGTCTCAGGTCCATTAGACGAGCATTCAAACGATGTCCTGTTTTTCTTCGATATGCCCGAAGCCCTAAGTCTTCATTTAACACCCTTTTCACCGTGGTTCTGTTTAACCCGATCCGAAGGGCCAACAGTTTCTGCTTACGTTTGGGATTTCTTTGAATTCGCGCCTTCACAGCTTTTGGCTGGAGTCCTAACAGACCGAGGGCGACCACTTCTTGACCTGTCATCTAAACTAGAGTCTTCATTGTATCGTTTGATGGTACGATAAACGAATCTTTTGGTTATATTCAAAATTTTCAGTATGTCAAGTTTTTGAATTGGCGCGTAAGTAACCGCAACGATGCAACGCATTAACTGCAACATGGTCTTCTTTAAGCGTCACTCCATATTTAAAAAATAGTAAAATTCTAAAAAGTATACATTTTTATTTTTATGAACAATTCGAAATTCAAATTCAATAAACTTTTTTGTGGCCAGCATTCTAAAAGAAAAGTTTTTACTGTGTGATAATACTTATGACCTGACTGTGTACCTATGATCTTACAAGAACTTGGTTAGTTAATGCTAAGAGTTAATTAATATAAGCTGTATAAAAGTTATTACACGATATCAGTCATAATTTTAATTTATTTCAATTGATGTCTATTTTTCACTTCAGGTTTTCGAAACTAGCACTTGAGAGTGAAAAGGAATTAATCTTGAAAGCGCCTTGGGGTAAGCTGTCAGGTACGTAACATTACGATATATTTCAAATTGTAAGATATAACTGTTGAGAAAAAATCGGCAACTTTAGAGTAAATGCTTTAAGTTGGCCAGCCAACGGTGTTGTTAGTGCAGGCCCTGTAAACATGGTTACTCGTGATCTATAGAATTGCTTTTTTTCGATAGCGTTTCAAAGGCAAGTAAGAGAGTCGTTCCAAAAGACTGGTGTAGATTCTGGCATGATTCTCTAAACCTAAAATTAAATTAGCCAACAGTGTATCATTGACTATGCATTATATACTATTTCACATTGAAAAGGAGAAACTGATGTATTAACCGACTACCAAAAGGTGGAGGTTCTTAATTCGTCATTACCTAAAATTAAATTTGACAACTATATTATTTAAAATTTGACAAAATTTGAGATAATCAACGGACTCCTCAAATACGAGCAGTACTCACATCGTTTTATGTTATTATACGAAATATGAAAGAGAGATTTCAGGCCAGACAACTATATTAGTTGATGTTGCTCTGGCTGATAAAAATGTAAAAAAAAAACCGACTTCATTAAAACAAAACCACTGAAAAGTATAGAATAATGCATATTCTTTACTTACACATTTGTAGTCGGTGCCATGCATATTGATAGACCTGAGTTGCCATATTTATATTGCTTGGGTCGGCATGGCACCGACACCAAATGTATAGGTAAAGAATATGCATTATTCCATACTTTTTAGTGGTTTTGTTTTTATGAAGTCGGTTTTTAGTTTTCTGTCTGTCGAACCCCTTCGCGTCTGCCGCAGCGTGTGCCGCAAACAACCACGCTCTACGGGTGTAAACCCGTGTTTTACCTAAAATAGCACATTCTACGCGAGTCACGGTCCCACAGCCGCGACAAGCGCGGGCAATAATCGATCCGTGAGTTGTAACTTTCAAAGGTTCCATATTTCAGCTTTAAGCTGGGGCGATCCTTCCCACTCGCCCGTGCTGTTGTGCCACGGCCGTCTGGACTCGTGCTCGTCGTTCCGGCCGCTCGTGCAGCGTCTGCCACGCGCACACTTCTACGTGAGCGTGGACCTGCCCGGCAACGGACGCTCGGACCACTACCCGCGCGGCGGGTCACTCAATTTCTTCGATTTCGTTCCGCCACTCGAGATTATCAGAGACCATTTCAAATGGGAAAAGTTCACCTATATAGGACACTCACTTGGTGCAGTGGTAGGTGGGTATTATTTTTGTCTATTGGTTATAAGACACCTGACAAATGTTTCATGAAGGGGTTCCTAATGTTAAGTTAAAAGAGAGTGGAATTTGCCATCGCCGCCCCCTGTAAGTATTTACCCTAATGAAACTTACCGTCATGTAGATCAGACAAACATTATTCACGGCACGAATAGCGTTCTTCTGTGAAGTGAACTATCTTTGTTCTATAGATCTAGTTTTAATATCAGATCAAATTTTTAAGTGACTTTTATTGATTCTTGAGCGCAGTTCACAGGCGATGTACAGCGTAACCTGACCATCTTTCAATGGCAAGGCCCATAATATACCTATAACAAAAATCGGAATCACCTTAAATCGGTAATGCAGGTTGCAAAAAAAATAAGAAAATGCATACATGAACAGATATCCAAAACTTTACCTAAATTGATAGCGATTGATAAGGTCAAACATGTTGTTCCGTAACTATTTTTATCCGCATCAAGTCCAGCTTGGAAGTACCAAGCCAACTGTGAGGCGAATATGAATTCCTTACGGTGCGATAGTAGAAATGTATCCTTTGAAATCTGTCAGATATTCCTCCAAACATTTTTCACCCACAGGCAAGTACTTAAACCACATCGCACCGAACCAAATCACTCGGATGGTGGACATTGACCCTCAGCCGGCTTACTTGTTCTTCATCAAAGATCTGCGGGGGTGGTACCAGATTTACTCCAGCGCGGGATTCTGCGGCAGTGAGAGCCGCGACAAAGTGCTCGTTGGACCGGAGACTGCGCCGAAATACACGTATGACGAAGTCAGTGCATTTTCAGCTTTTTAATATTCCTACTTCTGGGGCACAGGCCTTGCATATGTATTTCTTACACGACACGTTATACCAGGTACAGATACGTATCCGGGCGTTTTTCCCGTCCCCCACGACAACGGCTAACTAGAGTCGAGGTCCGAGTCGCAGAGACGCCCTCTAGTTGAGCTGACCCCCTCAGGTTCGAGTGGTCTAGGGGTCAGGTTCGAGTGGTCTAGACGGGGAGGAGACTCCCACCAGTGTGTATGTTGTTGGTGGCAGATGACCTTTACAGCGTCACCGGGTTTGAGGACGGCAAGATCCTAAGGGGACCTCAAGCCGAGAATTGGCGAGTGTCTCTAGAGGTATTGCAGGCCGATGGCGTCTCCCCACAGAGGAAGTCTCCTTTCCGCCTGGAGCCTCTAGACCACTCGAACCTGAGGGGGTCGGCTCAACTAGAGGGTGTCTCTGAGACTCGGACCTCGGCTCTAGTTAGCCGTTGTCGTGGGGGGCGGGGTCGTATAGAGATGTGTCCGGAAGTATATTTGGCTCATCAGAGCCAAAAAAACCTAAAATATAAATAACGTATATTTGGCTCTGATGTCGCACCGGAACTATCAGCGCTCTTTTTTTTTAGGAAGGGATCATCGTCGCACACTTCCATGGATGCATCACGGCTAGGGGCAGAAATTTGTTTTTTCTTTTATTCTGTAAAATTTTTAGAAGTTTTTGAAATTTTACGTGCGAGATTTGGTTATGTCCCCATGCGCGATGTGATACTTAATCCTACTATTTCTACGAGATGACGCGTTTTTAATGATATGTTAATTTATTCTAACAGATTTTGGAAAAAATTATGAAAGCCCGTGGTCTGAGCGAAGACAAAGCGGTACACGTACTGGAAAGATGCCTGGAGCCAACCGGCGATGGGTTGTACAGGTAACTTACTACATAATATAGGATATATTGGCAGCCGTTCCATAAATTCCATACTTATTTTTGGGGGCAGATGTTTGTGTGACGAATACAAGCTTAGTAGATAATTAGTATTATAGTTATAGATGTTTAATATGTATTTTTATATTAATATACTTATATTTATATGTATCAGTATATGTATTCTATCCGTTACCCTAGTATCCCATAACACAAGCCTTCCAGTGCTTACTTTGGGGCCAGGTTAAATGGTGTGTGTGTGCAAGAAATGTACCTATTTATTTAATATAATTCCAGGTTGACGTTCGACCAGCGTTTCAAGTTTCTCCACCCTTTACCGTTCCTTTATGGCAGCCTCCAAGAGTTCTATACAGCACCAAAGACTCCGACACTTGGCATATTCGCCACGGATAGTATCCGACAAAGGTTTTATAAGGCTTTTCCTTTTGCGCTGGACGAGTCGGCTTGGAAACACGGAAACTACCGCCATGTAGTGGTAGAAGGTGGCCACGATATCCATCTGCAGCGACCTGAGGAGATGGGAAGGCATATCACCAAGTTTATGGCAGATAATCCGGAATAGTGCAAGTGATAACCATAGAGGTATAACAATAGAGTGGGGAAGGTGGCTCTAAAAGTGTCCGTATAGTAGAAAGAGAGCGCGAATGCGAATTGGATGAAAAACCTACGGATGAATATCGACCAATCACACGATTGCTCAGCAATACCGACCAATCACACGACTGCGCAGCGTCACAAGAGAGAGAAAGATAGCTAGCCGTATCTCATCTTTCTCTTTTTACTAGACAGACACTTCCACTTGTAGTAGAGTACATATCTCCCCTACTCTATTCTTATACCTCTACTGTGATAACGCGGGCGTGGACTTGTCACAGATGCAGTACCTACTTTGGAGATATGAGAAACTAGCGTTTTACAATAACATAATATAAAAAGTTTTAACTTAAGTGTGTGGCCAATAAAAGGCTTTCCTGTTACAAAGCCTATGCAAAGTGAATAAATAAGAAAAAAAAGAAGCCAATCTGAGAATCAATCATATCATTACGCGATCACCCAAATGTGTTGCTACCGTAAATAACCGTCAAGAAGCCATTGGGTGTCGATTCTGGCTCTCCAAACCCTAAACAAAAACCTAACATCTGTCTCTCCCTTTCACTCCGTGTAGAGAATGACAAGGATACTGCGCTACCAAACTCAAGTCTAGGCTGGGAGAATCAGGCCAGAATCGAGACCATTATAAGGATTACAAGGATCATTTTTTTATCGCATGTAACTGTCAAGCCCCATAGTAATTTGGCATTTGTTCGTGATCATAAAAAACAGCTATATCTACCATCAGACCAGCTATATCAGTGCGGGTTACCATTCTTACTGGGTTGCTGTTCTTTCGCACCAAACGCTTCTCAAATACTTTTTTAATGCGCATAGTGAAGGATTGGCACTGCTTGACTGTGTCAGTGTTTCCAAGCACATATAATCCAACTCTTTTTAAAGTCAGAGTGAATATGCTCCTTCTGAATAAGATCGCTACGCCGCACCGTAGATCCCATTTCTGCTCTCGGGCTGGATGGAGGATCAAGAGCTTATCCATAAAAAAAAAACTCGGTGCTCATGTACACACAGGAAATGCAGGAATGTAGATTATAGTGGATCAAAAAGACGTACATACTAACATGAACTCGTGGCTCAATTACATTTTGGTCGTGTATTTTGGTCGTGGCCCCGTTTAAGTATTACGTAAAAACTAAAGGGGGGCAGGGGGATCTTTGCTTTGCTTATTTTTGATGACATGGGGGAGTCGAAATAGTGATTACGTCAGCATCATGGATTCGGGTGTCATGGACTGAAGACTGTTAATTGGAATTAATATGTATACCAAAAATTCGAAAGAAGTTTGTTTTGTTCGTAATAGTAAATATTAAGATTATAAAGTTTGTTTGAATGAATTTTGTGTGCGTTAAAGTCGTCTATCCTAAGCCTATTTAAGTACCTAATGCTGCTCATGAAGCTCATGAAAGCTCATGAATCAATAAAAAACAAAACATTAAAGGAAAAATGCATATAGGTACCAATGTTTACGTATGCATGGAAGGGGGGTCAGAGCCTTGCTTACTTTTGCTGACAAGGGGGAGGAGGGGGTTTTATAATTGTAATAAATCTGCTTACGTAATACTTGAACGGCCCCTTAGCCCATATTCGGGTGCACGAAAAACATTACTGAATTCGGTCACCCGAAGCAATGTTTACCATGGAATACGAGCTGGAAGACGGTGTCGGGTGAACAAAAGGAAATCTACCCGAATACGGGCGTACGACTCAGTTCATTTACACTGAGCCGTTTACCCGAATTCCATTGGCATTCGTATTCGGGCTAACGATCAAGATTAATCGCACCATTGGTTTACGATTCCCTTTGTATTTCTTTTCGTCTCACTCTGCCACGGCGCACCTTATTATATGATATCTAAGTAACAGAACATTATTTAATTGTTATTTGTTAAATTATGTGCGGAATTTTATTGATATTATCCTGATATTTGTAATAGTAAATTAAATAAACTGTTGATAATTGTTGGCTTGATTTTTACTTAATACTCTAGAATTATCTTTTTGACGTGTAACATCTTTCCTCTCGCTTTCCTGCAATTTGTGGTAGTGATCTCGTGAAATGGGACGGAAGTGTGTAACAGGAAGTAGCGAAAGCGCGCGCTATTTAATTTGATTTTAGAACATAATGTTCAAATGGCTTATTCCTTTTTTTTCGGTTTTGTTTCTTTTTTTACTAATATAAGATGAGGTTTCAAATGTTACACATCATATGTGACTAGTCTGTGCGGAAAGAGAATGGGCGTGGCGAATAACGGTACTAACTTTAAGATTTTTATTTGGCAATCAAAGCCAGCAATCTGTAAAACGTCAAAGTTTTGTATTGATACGGATTTGTTTGTTGTTGTAATTTCTTGCGGTTTTTTGTATTTAATCATGTCTGAAAGGTTAAAACCTTACAAATATGGTAGAAAAGCACTACAGCGCCCTCCAATCTAAATCCCATTCTCTTTCCGCACAGACTCTACTGTAAGTAAATACCCTGGTCTCAGTAACATGTCCCCCTGATGGGTTTCTGAATGTAAGTGGTCACTGCCGCTCATGGACACTTGCAGTACCAAGGGTAGGGTTACCAACTTTTTTTCTATCAAATATAGTATTTTCGGAACTTACCTTTCGAAGTTTACCTTTAAAAGTATATTAGATGGCAAAAAAGGAAAAACATATAGTGGTGTCGATTCTGGCATGATTCTCTATCCCTAAACTTTGACAACAGATCACGCCAGAATCGACACCAGTATGTAGTTAAAATATTTACTTTTTTTTATCGTTAGGTCCGATTTGTAATTAATATATTTTTGCTTGCTATATGCCTTAATAATTAAGTTATTATTTTTAAAAAAGCTTTTACTGAGTATTTGATTCCCTTATATAGTAGGATACTATCTTATATAGTAGGGTTGGCAACCCTCACCGATGCGATGCCGGCTCTGTAGTAAAAGGTTTACCCGGCTTTTGAAGACCATCATAGCTTAGAGGGAAAACCTCTTTGGGATGTTCGCTCCAGATCGGGGTGATGAAATAGTAAACGAAATTCTATTTAGTCAGTCAATTAGATGATCGAAAAATAATGGACACGTATTTTTTCTTTGGGCAATAAACCAAAAAATGATAAAGTTACAGCGCGTCAAAGTTTGGGGGTAGGGGCTCGTGACGTCACTTTTAAGTGAAAATTGTACCAAAACGTGACGTCATGCGACTTTTCAAATCAAGATATCTCTGCAATGTTTATATTATGTGAAAAAAGAAAAAATACGTGTCCAACACTTTTCGATAATCTACCTGATAAACAAAGAAAAAAAAATAGTTATCATCCCCATTCCCAATGCCCCAATTCGGGCACCCGAAGCAATCAATTCACACGACACTTCGACACGGGCAGGAATACGGTGTCGGGTAAGCAAAACGAAAACTAACCGAATGCGGGCGTACTCGCTCGTTAGTTTATGGCGCGATTACACTTGGTTGTTAGCCCGAATACGACTGCCAATGGAATTCGGGTAAAGGACTGAGTGTCAATGAACTGAGTCGAGTACACCCGTATTCTAGTGTTAATATTGCTTCGGGTGCCCGAATTCGAGTAATGTGTTTCGTGCACACGAATATGGGCTTACGACCAAATGTAATTGCTCCATTACACTTAATCGTTTACTCGGATTCCATTGGCACTCGTATTCGGGCTAACGACCAGGTGTAACCATGGCGCATGGTGCATAAACGCCAAGCGTCCAGATGGTGGAGGTGAATCTTCTGTCTGCGGCGTGTGGTGCGGTGAAGAAACTTGGCCACTGGCTCCAGATTGGATAATTCTATGAATTGCCGTGTGATGGCAACTATGTACGTGCTGTTAGTTAACAGCATTCAAGAGTTCCCAGCTCAAAGGAAGATTATTGCTTCTGTAAGCGCTGGTTTCAGACAGGGATATTTGGAAACCTGGCGGGTGCGCGGCCATTCGGAAATGGGAGCCGCGACCATACCTGCCCTCTCGGCACGCACTAGGGGGACCGCGGTCCTTATACTGCGTGTCGGGTGACGGTGCAGGAGCAATGTCTGGTTTTTAGGGGCCCTGTCAGGGCGATAGGTAGGGCCCTGTTTATTTCACCATTGCCACAGGGCTGGCTGAAATTAATAGGGAGGAGTCCCACATACCTTGTTGTCGCTCCCCCAGTGGTTGAAGGATGTGTAAGGCATTTCCCAGACACAAAAAAAGAGATATTTGGAAGATAAGGATGATCTCGATTTCGTTGCAATCCTTGATTTGCCTTCTTCGTAAACACGCCAGATTTGTTAGAGTTTCTCTAACAGTTTCCGCAGCATATTTGGTATATTTTTTCATTTTCGTTCTTTTCTGATATACTTACACAACGGAATTATAAATATCTAAATATCTTTTCATGGAGTCACTATAAACTAATAAACAACGTATGAACGTTTTCAAAAACTTTTCAAAATATTTTTGCTGTTATGAGAAAAAAAACCCATAACTTTATTATACATATTTATTTCACAGCAACTATAACATATAACTCTATACATTTTATCGGAATTATTATACAAAAATATCTCACACCAAACATTAAACCCAAACCTTCCACAAAAATTATTTATTTAATTTTTGGGAGACCAACAGCTCATAAAAACATACACTATCTTGAAGAAAAAAAATTGTTACAGATGGCCAATTACAGGTCTCCACAGTTAAGTCTGTGATAAAGATTCAATTTCAATTTATATACCTACGTTTGTAAATACTACATTGATAATGGCAGATCAAACATTATACGCTTCTTGACTGTAAGATTGTAAGCTCCAGTTATTAATAATAATAAAAATAACAAAACCTCTTCATTTTACACCACAAAAAAAATATATAAAACATTATATACAATGGCTGCTTACAGTGTAAAAATGGGCGGTCTTATCGCTAAGAGCGATCTCTTCCAGACAACCTTGGGATGGAGAGGACAAGAAAGAAGCTGGAAAGACGGCGGTGTAATTAACTGCAATAATACGCGAGAAAATCTCTGTACAAACCGAGTAGGTATATAAAACAAATAAACACATATAAATACATAGATATACATACATACACTCATACATACATAGGTAAATACATATATATGTATATATATATACATACTAAAAAAAATACATATATACCATATGTAAGTCTAATTCGGTGAGAGGAAATAAATACAATAGAAGAGCTATAAGGACAGATAGGAGAGAGGAGTTATTCTGGATTATCTCTCATAAACTTGGTGATATGCCTTGCCACCTCCTCAGGTCGCTGCAGGTGAATATCATGGCCTCCTTCTATGATTACATGTCGGTAGTTTCCGTGTCTCCAAGCCGTGTCATCTAATGCGAATGGAGCAGCCTTATAGGAGGAATGTTTTTCTATATTCTCCGAAGCGAAGATGCCTAGTGTAGGAGTCTTGGGTGAAGTGATGAATTCGTGATAACTATCGTATAGGAAAGGCGATAGAAAGATGAACTTGAACCTCTGGTCGAACGTCAACCTGAAATTAAGGTTAAACAGTTAAAGTTAAAATAGTATGAAAGGACCACACATCTGGGGGTTTACTCTCTTTCTCCGAAACGAACTTTCTATAACGAAGTTCAGTTGAAATTTAATTTCGTCAATTTAAGGTTATACTTCATTTTTATGATAAACTATCAAATTGAAGCTTTCTTTGAGTAGGCTTAGAAAATCTAAACCTCAATCTGTATTCCGACGACGAATATTATTATAATTAAAAACGAACCAGAAACTTATTAAGAAAAGTGCGAAGTTCGATCGAAATTTCGTTTTTCGTTGAATTACAGTAGGCCTCCATAAGTGAAATTTCTTTTCTTAAATAAACTAGCACTGGGCATTGCATAACACTTAGGGGAATGGAGCAGCGCACGCATCACTCCTATATGTTTGTGATTGTCGCGTGTGATGCTCATGACGCTCGTAGCGTTTCAGCCTTAGTCGTGTTACCCTCCAACTTTCATGCTCGTC